CCCCAAAACCCCAAAACCCCAAAACCCCAAAACCCCAAGCTTCTTCCAACAACTGAGCACAACTTTTAAACCTTATTTGAATAATTATTCTTTTACTTTCTGAACTGAGCAAATTTGATATTTGTTAGGTTTTTTCAGAGTTTTAGCATAATTTACCTCAGATGGGTTAACCATCACTTCAGAGGTATTCTCAACTCTTGACATGCTTGTTGGGTTCATTTTAGATATTGTTTCTAGATAGGTTAAGCAATTAAATAGAATCGGGTTGGCCCCTCAAGAGAATCAAATGTTAGCGATCATCAATAGCAAGTGTAAAAATTAGTTGATGGCATTTATTTAAGGTGAAACTAATTAAAATATGCTCTATATAATTTGGAAAGAGAAACTAGAAGGTTCCCAAAGAGATATAAAAATTTATACCATTTGCCTTTCAATTGTGCTGAAAGAATGAGTTGTTACGCTTGAGAAGAGACTTTTTGCTGAGATTAAGTTTTTTGGTAGATTTCTTTATTCTAAATCAAAGTTAACCAGCCATCTTACGTAACTCCTTTCTTTTTCCTATTTCGTATCACTTTCTTCCTTGAATTATGAGTAATGAGCTTTTTTTCTGTGATTTCTTGATTAAATTGACTTCCTTTCTTTCATAAAACAAAGCTATAAATCCTCATAAAAGTCACAAAGGATGGGTGCTTATAATCCAAGTAACATAAGACATAATAAAGCCAATTCACTAAGAAATATGCATTCACCAGGAACAATAGTAGGAGACTGCCGTAATAAACTGAATTGAGCCTTCTTTCAGGAGTCACAAATGCAATGGTTCAGTATAGGGTAAGAATTCCTGCTGCAACTCCAATGACCTCAATTCTATTATTCGAATCCTTTTTATAAGGCTTCAGCCTTTCCTGGATTCTCATCAAGATTACAAGCGAAACTAGAGTTTAGTGCAAAACTTACTGATTGCTCCAAGGATTCTGTAGTATGGGTCATATGTGCTCAAAAATACGTTAAAAGACAGCACAAGAAATTTCCTGAAAGTATTAACAAGCTCCCAATAAAAGGCATCATTCTTCAGCCCTTGGTATAAGAGAAGAAGATATTTCTGTTTTTGGGGATTATCTAAAGTGCTTCTCTTTTTGTACAAAATAATTAAGGCTATGACTGGCATTCCAATCACCCATATGACTAAGATGGGGAATCCAACAAGGAATATCCATTTGAGATGATCTCCTGAAAAACACTTGTAGTCCATGTGCATCATCATCCTGGAGTCATCTTTGTCAACAATAGCTCACTGGAATACTCTCAAGGATTGGAATGTCATCGTTGGATGGAAGATGAATATGATGCAGATGAAAGATATTGCAATATATCTCTTCAAATCATGAGTCATTTCAGGCTTGATAAAATGCATGACCAATCTGTAGAGAAGAATTCCACTGCTCAGCACTATCAGCAAGAAAATAGGCAGGAGCAAGTATAAGACAAGCTTGAACAATTCATTTGAGGGAGCAAACATCCTAATCTCATTGTTATCAATGAAACAATCAAAAGAGAAGAAAGTCCTCTCTGGTGAACTCACTCTGTCAGATTGTGAAGAGACATCCTCAAAGATGTTTGGAAACTTGATATTGAATGATAGAATAGCAGCGATAAGTTGGGAGTAATTTGTAAAGATCCTCAATAATATTGATAATTGGTTTTCACCTTTCTTCCTAATATTAATGATCACAATGAAGTATATGAACCCAAGGGCAATGATCTGAAATCCAACGAATTCAAAAGCATTTAAGATTGGAGAAGGGCATTTTGAGCATTCAAAATTAGTAGATGGATGATATTTTTCATTTTCTGAGACTGAACACTTGGTTCATAAAAAGCCTTCATATCCCTTTTCACAATCAACTGGGTTCTCTCTACTTGGATTAAAACCACCAAGACATGATTTCTCTCTAAGACAATGAGCAACATGAGTAGAAGTTATGTTTTTCCTCCAGTATCCAGGACTCACTTCTACATGATCTTTGCCTTTGCACTCTGCATTTGCCATTCAAGCATCTCAAGATGTAGAGTTCCATTCGAGAGAGTAGGTTTTAATGCTTCATTCATTTCACTTTCCATCTGAAGTTTGGTACTCTCCAGGTTTTCAGTACCTAAAAGCCACTAAAAATCCACTCTTGTCTGTTGCTTTCAAAGGATTGAATATAGCTTTACTAAGAAGATCAATTTTATTGTAGTCAATATGGCTGGTAACAATATTATATCTTATCCCTTGAGATCCTGGAACAGCAATAAAGGTGAAATTTGATAACTCCGCAATTCCATTAGTGATCCTTGAGTTATCAATTCCTCCAACTAAAATTAAGTTAGACCAATTCCAAAAATACGTAACAAGACTTTTGGGCCAAATTTAACAAGAATGTATTGATCAAAAGAGTAATGAATTATTCATCTGAAAACAAAACTATTTACCACTGATACTTGTATCTGAACTCTCTGCCTGTAGTTTTATAGATCTTGTATTAATCAAGTCCATTGTTTGATTATCATAGTCAATTATCTTAACTTTATAGCTTGTATCAGATATAATTCCGCTCCCAACAGAGGTTACTGTCACTATGTTTTGCTGATTTTTTGAGAAGATAATATTGTAAGGAAAGCTAGCAATATTGCTACCATATGGAGCACTATTATTTGTAAACACTATTTCATTCATTATTGGTCTATGCATATTGTAATAAATTCCTGCACCCTGAATTTTAGCAATATTAGAGCTAAAAACAGTATTCTTGAGAATATTCTCACATTTTGAGTTTATTTCACAATCAATTGCAATCGCAGCTCCACTTTTTGCGGTATTTTTAACAAATTCTGAATAACTAAGTGTAACACTACTCCGAAGAATATTCATTGCGCCTCCTTGTTCAACATCATCATTTCCTCAATTATGAAATTTAGAGTCAGTCCAATTAGAAATTGTGGAGTCTTTAATCAAGACTGAGTTAGAGCAGTTATGCACAGTAATGTTCTTAAGCAACTTCACGTCAGTTAAGGAGATTTCCATCACATAATTTGTTACCTCTGATATGCTAACATTTTCGATCAGTTCAATGTCTGAGTAGTAAATATCAAACAAAGTGCTGCTTGGAGATATCGATCTGAACTTACTGTTCCTCATAATAATTCCACTACTTGAGATTATTCTGAATAGATATGTAATACTACTGACTTCTTCAGAAGTAAAATCATCAATACTGAGTTCACAGAATGAACTTGTCATGAATTGAGCCTTTGAGTTTTTGTAGCTCACTTTATTGATATTTACAACAGAGTCAAGAGCATTCAGAAGATCGTAATTCCCTATCATAGTAAAATTCTCAATCGTCACATCAGTCATTGAGATTTTACCTTGAACAGATACAATGAAAGTTTTGTTAGTATTAATATTAAGGATCTGAACTCCATTCATAATTATGTTTGAGTCAACTGCTCTAACTATCATTGCTTGATCTGAGATTATAGTCCCGTTTCCAATTTCTATCTCCCCCATTTGTGTTACAATTACCGCATCAAAAATTTCTAAAATGGTTCTTAAAGCTTACCATCAGCTATGAAATATCCATCATTTGACCTAATATTTGCAGCATAGTTTGGATTAAAGCCACCCTCAACCATCAGTACTTCCTTTATATACTCTTTGGATAGAACTGTGTTATTGCTAATTCTGCAGTGGTTAATGATACTCTTCTTTTTAGCAAGTGGGAAGTCAGTGAAAGGAATATTGAAAGCATAATTATTTGTTATGTCACTATCATAGAATTCTACAGAAGCTCCACCATCCATCGAAGCAATTGTATGGCTTATAGCAAAGTTCTCTGTTATGTTTCATCTAGATCGTTATATTTGATGTTTAGTGAGCTAATTTACCTTGTTCAATGAACAGTTAAGCTTCTTTGAAGATAAAATAACGCTGAATTTATTCCACCATTCTTGAAGAACAGAGTATCATATATTGAAACCTTAGCATTAGTTCCATCTCCCCATAATAAAGCTGCACCAAAGATACTAGTAGTTCTGACAATCTTAGAATTAATTATCCTGAGGTCAGCATTAGTCAAGATTCCAAAAAGTGAGCTAAAAATTATCTAATAAAACTTACAAAAAGTGGTAGTACATATCTTCAATAGTCAAATTATTAAACAGTATTCTTGTTGTGATCCCTGTACCTCGCTGACTTCCATACATTCCTGCGAGACCACAATTGGATATATTCTTCAGGATGCTATCATTAAATTCCAAGAACTCATCTGTCTTATGTGAGAAGCTTGCTATATTAATAATATTTTCATAATAGACATTCTCTATCACTAGCCTATTATAGACTACTTTGAACACCTTCGTCGAGAAGATCTCGCCATTCGTAATAATATAAGGAGGATTTGGATAATACAGATCTCTGATGACAAGGTCATTTATAGTGATGAACTGGTCAATAGGGGTTGACTGAAGAGAATTGTGGATACTTATCACACTGGTCTTGCAATTCACAGCTTGTACTGAGTTGAACGTGATTGTGGATGTGCTAGGTGAGGAGAGTTCAATAAGGTTCAGGAGGATGTTGGTCGTGTCCGAGTCTGAGGAGGTAGAAGCGTTCGTGAAGATGATGGAGGAGAGGGTTGAGTTTTTGGAACTGAGCAGCTTTAGATAGGAGGAGGATAAGCTGGAGGAAACGTTGGTGATGGTTGCGGTGGATAGTAGGGTTTCTCCAGTGGGATTTGAGAGGCTGATGAGGGTCTTTTGGTCGTGAATGCTTCCTTTGAGATAGTCGAAATTTTTGATATGGAGTTGGCCTGCTCCATAGCTAATAAAAGTGATCAGATTCATTTTTAATGATCCGAGAAGGTGCACATCATTCAGAGTGATAGAGTCGAAAATTCCTCCATCGATGGTTTCATAATAGATCAGGCCATTCTGCATCATTGTGACATTGCTGAAAGAGTTGTTGATCATTTTTGGTACTAGATAATTAAGCATTACAAGTACCTTGTCATCCAGAAATCTTGAGCAACTCAAGTTTTGTTTTCATGTTCACGAATGAACTATCTGACAGTTCTCATTGAGAAACTCCGTTTCCTTGAATTTTTATCAACTCTAAGTAATTAGCTTGAATATTTGAGAATTCAAAACTATTGAGCACATATTTTGATTTCTGAGTACTTGTTGAACTCTCACTATAAGAATAACATTAGAATATTTAGTTTTATTCGCATTTATCGAGAATACTTTGAAAATGAATAAATATTCCATGGATGACTTACCTTAAATGCACTCCAAAATACATATCCTCGGGTGCATAAGCCCAAGAAGGATCATTTTGAATCTTAATATCTGTGAGATTCACAGTTCTTTGTTCCATATCAGTTGTATCTCATGTCTGGTCTGGTCTCAGCAAGAAATTGTATCCATTTGAGCCACTGTCTCCGTAAAACATCAGAGTGACATTGAAGAAGGAAATATCTTGACCTCCATACTGCACAAAGGGTGGAAAATTAGTTGTAATCAAATCAGAAGGATCTAAATTTATAAACACTTCAATCCTTACCTTGCGAGAAGTAAAACTTTGTATTCTCAACTTTAGTCATAACACCTAATGCTTGTTGACCTTGGATACAAGATAGCTGCAAATAAAATCCTCCTTGGGACTTATGTAAATCGAACTCAGAGCCAATTACTTCCAATGACATTTGCTGTTGTGTTGCCAGGAACCTCCCTTCGTGCATAACTTTGGAATTCCTAATTTGTAAGAGCTTCGAGCCCATCTGGACTGGAGAGATAAACACTTTATCTACAGAAAGACTTGTATATTCAGTTGCCATATATACATTCTCAAGCGTAATCCCACACTTGTAGAGATACAGAATAGGGTTGCCAGAGCTGGTCAGAAGTGCTTTGTCTTCACTTGAAATTTTAGAGTCTGAAGAGATCGAAGAAGAGTAATCAATAGCTGATGAACCTACAGATTAACCTGTAAACTTACTAAGTAAGATAAACTGAGATGGTAGCAGCTGTGGAGAATTGGTACTTTCTCTTTCGATAGCAACTATTCTATAGAAGAGTTTAGCAGAATGTCTTACTTTGCCTTCCTTGTTTGAAGCTCTTCTAAGGAATATGATATGATTTTGACGTTGGTGATATTGAGCAAATAAGTTCCTTCTCTGACATAATTTGTAGTATCTTGATAAAGATGGATAGTAATTTGTCTGTCAGAATGAGAATGAAAATGAAAGAGTTCAACAAATACAGAATTCAATTCTTTGTAAGGATGCTCGATCGTCCCTAACTCGGTCGTACTTGTGCTCAATGGGTTGACAAAATAGTCAAAACCTCTACAAACCGGAATCCCTCCTAACCTCACATCTTCAATACCCATCCGAGTCATTGGATCACAAGAAGAGACACATGCAAAAGAGTCTAAATCAAAATACTCTCCAGATGCTCAAACATAACAACTCTCTTGATACGCTCACTGCTCTGAGCATCCACCTCCTCACTCAAATCAAAGCTCTGCTGAGTTCGAATAAAACTCGCCTATAAATATAACTTCCGCTCCATAACCCCTGTTGCTTACCTTGTGGTCACAATTCCTTCTCTCAGAGTCCAGTGCTTCCATTGGCTATTAACAAATCAGTCAGAAATTCATATTGAAAATTTCTAAATTTTTGCTTACGAGTAAAACTGGCCTGGCAGGCAGTGCAAGTATGGTAGGTGGTGCATGTAGATCAGCTGGGATGGCAGGCTCTACAAGAGTCGGTGTCGTTAAAAATAGCCTGGATTACACTATAAGGAATTTTAGGTGAATTTCCCATGTTGGAAAGGCAAATATTTATAAAAATTGAGATTTTTTATGAAATTTCCATAAATTTTGCTCGATTTAATCTAGAAATTCGACAGAGCTCCTTTTAACCTAAAAACACCAAAAACTCCAAAATTCTAAATCTTCTCTCTCTTCCTCCTTCACCTCACCCAATTCCCTACCATAATCCCCCTCTCACCTCATCCCCGCAGTACCAGTTCCTCCAAGCTAGAAAGGAATCTTTAAAAACCTGCCTCAATAAGCCCCTGAATTTTGAGTTGGCCTAGGAACTGAAGTAAGGAATGGAACAGAGGCTGGGAAGGAGATTGAGGGGTTTTGGGTGGAAAGTGGGGTAGGAGGTTTAGTGAGGAGGAGTCTTGGATGGGGTTTGGGTGTAGGTCATTTATGGGTAAAATTTTGGGGTTTTGAATTGTTAGAATAGAGAGTATTTAAGAGAGGAAATTGGGGGATTTTGGAATTAATAGGGGGGTTGTTTATGTTGGATGTAGAGGTTCTTTTAGATTATAAATGGGTTTTGATATATGTGCTATAGGTAGTCTCTTACTAAGGTTTTTATGAGAAGTTTTCACCAGAATATGTGAAGAATTAACATAGGAAGAAACATTTATTTTTCAAAACTACTGAGAATGGAAGTCTAAGTGCTACCTAATTTATGCTAGTCTTACTAAATCCCTTCTAACTTATGTCCCTCCTTCTTCACGAATCAATGCTAAAGAAGACTACGTCTTATTCTGAGTTGATTTTATAAAATTAATAAGAGCGCTCGAGAGATCAGCATACAGCAAACCATACAGAACACAGATGAAACTATTGAATCTGGCAACAAAATTTAATTGAGAGCAAATAAGAGTCTTCCCGTTTAATTTAATTTTGCTCGAAAAACTCTTTACTCTCATCTAGACTTAAAACCCTTCTGAGATAGAGGCCTTTAAGTACCATTAGCATTAAAATAAGTAAATATTAATTTTCTCATCAAATTTTACAATAAAACATCTCGCTCAAATTTTTTCTGTTTAAATTTCAATCAATAAAGATCAAAATTTATTAAAAAGTTGTCTAAAAACCAACCAGCTAGTTATGAAAAATTCTTCATAATTTCTGTTAATGCCTAACCCTTGAAACAGAAGCTGTTTCAGTTACATATTTCAAGACTAGATAAAATAGAAAAGAAGCGTAGGGTTAGAGTGAATGTCAGTCCAGAACGCTCATATTTTATAAGGGAAAATGAAGAGAAATTAGGGAAAATCAAATTATTAACTATAGTAGAAAAATTCGACTCATGTTTGAAAAAGGCATATACTAAGTCTTTACACTCAACCTCAAAATATTTCGAAAAGCAGAATTTTATTCAATTATGACCTAAGTTTGAAAAATTCAAAATAATTATTAAAGCATACTATGTTATTGGAATTTTTAAAATTATGAGCAAACTAAGCAATAGGATGAAACATTTAATAAATAGCCTTAATTCTTTCTGATTCACCTCAAAAGCTTGATCAATAAACCAAACACCACTATACCCCATTCCTGGCAAAAGCAAAAGTTAAAATTTTGACTAAACATTAATAAAACCAAGTCTCCCTAAGAAACTCCTAACTTATCAACGTAAAAATATTAATTTACTAGCTCCTTAACCCACTTGACGAATGTAAAACCCTGCTGCTCCTTTTATAAAATCTTCCTTTAATTATAACAATGTTTTGAAGAAATAGAACCCTTGAGGCTATATCAACCTTCCTCAACCTCTGATCTCCCTTCTCAGTCACCACCCTCTCCTGCACCCAAAACTCTCATTCTAAGCCACCAAAGCTCAATTCCAAGTTAGGCAGCACCGAACAAGAAGCCGGTATTTTAAGGTAGGGGCTGCAAACATTCAGAAGAAACTGTGATGTTCTTGAATGAGGAGAAAGAAAAGAGGAAAAAGTAAAAGAGGATAGAGAAAGAAAAATGTTGGATAAGGCTGGGACTCTAGAAATTGGAGCTTAGTGAAAGGTTATTTTATTTATAGTGATTTGTAAAACAAGTGATAGAAAAAACACAAAAGTACCGATGTTAGATTATTTTAGAAGCAAAGATATTGGCTGATATTTCAGAAAATAGTGAGGTTGATTTTTTATTTGAACCAACAGCTTACTGATAATGATGTTTGTAGTATTAGCATCAAAAATGATAGATGTAACACTAGATTTGTTCCTTTTCTTTCCATATTTATATTATTAATATCATCATGTACTCAGTATAAATTGTACCATACGGGGTTTTGGGGTTTTGGGGTTTTGGGG